ATATATATATATATATATAACTAGATAAATGAAGATATATAATCAAATGTCGTCCTTTTAGAGGACTTTTGATTGTTCAATTATTAATGGAAATTGTGCTAGTTATTACTATGTTAATTATTAATCATGTTGATCTATGCTTTCACTACACTAAAATTAGTTTTTTGTAATAATTAATTTATTCTTTAGCGGCCATATAAATGATCATTATTTTTTTTATCAACATTTAAATAATGGCTGGTGTATACAGGGTCGCTAATAATATTACCGGCATTTATATAAAATACTGGTAAAGACTTACTAAATTGTTGGGAAAACTTATTTTTTTTTAGTGGTAATTCTAGTAGTCATTTTAAAGGTTATTAAAAGTTATTTTTTTCAATTATCTCCTTTTCATCCATTTAGTGACTTTTATCTTTTGCTAGTAAAACTTTAAATAATTTGTTCCCATAATTTTCTTTTCTAAATTCATAACTTATATACTTTTTTATCTCTAGTCGATGTGAGATTTGTAAGATGAGGGTTGTCTTTATTTATATATTTTTTAATTGTATTGTCTCTTAAGAGATGTGAGATTTATAAGGTGAAAGTTGCTCTATAATTGTTTTATAGCACTATTGAACTTGGTAATAGTAAGTGATTTAATACCAATTTAGATTAGTGAATTAGGATTCTAACTTAACCCTATAAAATCAACTTACAAGATGATAGTTATTACTCACTTATATACTATTTAATTATCTTATCTCTAATCGATGTGAGACTTAAGTTTTTTTCAATAAATAATTATCGCTAATATTAAACTTTAGTGTAATATAAATACATTTTTAGTGGCTATTATATATTAGCCATTAATATTTTTATTATATAATTAAATAGTGGCAATTAAATTATTGTCATTAAATAATTATCATTAATAATAAATTTTGTGGTAGTGAATGGAACTAATTAACTAAAAATTAAAAGACTTAATTATTTATTTTGAAATATTTTTTGTTCATTTTTTTATTTTAATCTGTAACTAATACTGTAGTAAAATTATTTTCTTTCGGTGATTTTTTTTTAAATATATATATATATATATTTTTTTTACATACAATAAACAGTCATTTTTTCAATCAAGTTAGGACTATAATATATGAGTAGCGTAATTTATTTTAATATTAAAACAATTAAATATTAAGAATTAATTTGAATTCAAAAATACTATTAGTTAATATTTAATACAATTGAATATTTTAAAGTTAATATGAATTCATAATTATTAGTTAAGTTAAAATGTTCAAAAGTTCGAACCCTAAATCTTGAATATGAGATAAACCGAAAAATACTCAAAAGAATCTCTCACAAAAATCAGTTACTAGTTTGGATTGGGATACATCATATAATATCATAGTTAAAAAATACTTAAGTTAAAATATTCATGCCAATTACTTTACGCACTTGGAAATAGTGTACTTGGGACCGGAATAATTCACACGATTCAACCGAAAACGAAAAGTGTGAGAAAAAAAAAAAAACTAATTTTGGACCAAAGAAGCCTATTATCTTTATGTCTTATGGCCAATAACTTTGATTTTATTTAGTTACTTTTGTTAGACAATAATTACAAATTACCGATTCAAAATTGATTGGAAACAAGTTACAATCAGTTGCTAAGATTCCACAAAATCTAGCAAGTAGGCCTTGTGCCTATCCATACGCTTGGCCTTGGTCATTAAAATCCACAACAATGCGTTCCCATTAGGTAAGTTATTAACTTTCCTAACCTTTATCTTAATCTTCTTTATAACTCCTTTTGAGTCTTTAACAAAAAAATCAATTGACTTAATCACAAGAAAATAATTAAAAACAAAATATCAATAAATTATAAAAAATGACCCTAAAATGTCTACATGATTGCTTTTATTATAATAATGTTTATCAAAGATAAGAAACAAAGATAAAAAATAAAAGAGAGAGAAGAAGATTGACTGAAATACCTCTTGAACAAGCTCTATTGGATCAACATGGAGATTTAGGTGCTTTGTGGCAACCTTTCACACTACAATGAGCCTCACAAAACTCAAGAAATACAATATGAGAGAGAGAGAGAAATTTCGAGCTCTAAAGAGTCCTGGACGAAATTTTTGGGGGCCTTGAGAACTATGCCCAAGCTGTCTATTTATAGGCATCAGAAGGGTTTCCTGAATGGCCCGTTCTAAAACTGGAATGGTCCGTTCTGGATCCGAACATTCAGTGTTAATTTTGTAACTGGAACGGCTTGTTCTGAAATTGGAACGACCCATTCCAGAAGTGAGATTAACACACAATTGCCTAAACTGGAACGGCCGTTCCAAACAAGAGATTTTAGGCCATTTTAATAACTCAGAACGGCCTGTTCCAGTTTAGGAACGGCCCGTTCCGGTTAACGTTTTTAACCCTTTTTTAGGAGCTTGGAATGGCCCATTACAATTTAGGAACGACCCGTTCTAGCCTAAGGTTTTTAGGCCTTTTGCCTGGTTTGGAACGACCCATTCTAGTTTTGGAACGGCCCGTTCCAGACTAGGTTTTTAGGCCTTTTTTGTGGCTTGGAATAGCCCGTTTCGATTTTGGAACATCCTGTTCTGGGCCACTAAAACCAATGTATTTGGGCTTTAGGCCTTCTAATGTTCTGTCCTATTGTTTGCATGCTTGGGAGCTCCAATTCTTTGATGATAGACGTCGATTTCATAGCTTTCGTTGGTCTGGACAAAATTGGGTGCCTACTGTAGACCCCTAAAATTGTCCAGGTCGGAAATAAAGCTTGAAGACTCTCGAAGACTGAAGGAAGATCAGCCAGAAGGACTCCTGGAAGGCCCTAGGAGGGTTCTCTGTAGGTCTAGAGGTCTTAGAATAGCTCAAAATAAGGAAGTGGAGGGAATGAAGCCCAATACGGCCGTACTGAACTTAATACGGCCGTATTGAAGCTTCAATACGGCCGCAGTGAACTCAATACGGCGTATTGAAGTTTCTGAAACTTCAATACGGCCGTACTGAAA